GTGTGCAATAGCAAGTAAGTGATGTGCTTCATCCATACCACATACAGCGTGTTCAACCTCTCCTGCCCCGGGATTATGAGCCCGAGTTGCTTTTTGTCGCACAATGTTAGAAAGACACAGGAAAGATCCACAGTTCTTTGAAAAAATTTTATGATCGGATGAGACCACATTTAAGAAAGATGGGTACATGAATCTGCATAACTTACACGAGTGGCACGTAGCAAACCCACATTTGATGAGAGAAGATAAATCTCAATATCGCTTCAAGATAAACCATTGGACAGAAATTTTAAATGGTAAAATAATCGGTCCGTTTGAGTTCCTAGAGACTTTGACTACTGAAGTTTATTTGGATTTTTTGAAAAATCATGTACAAAATTTATTGGTGGAGCTGCCACTGAGTATTTACAGGGACATGTGGTTTCAGCATGATGGCTGCCCAGCGCACTATGCACTCTCAGTGAGAGAGTATCTCGATCAAAACTTTCCAGGCAGATGGATAAGGCGATCTGGTACAATACCGTGGCCAGCCCGATCACCTGATTTGAATCCTTTAGATTTTTTTACTGGGGAACTGTAAAAGAAAAAGTGTATTTCAAGCCGATTCAAAATGTAGCTGAGCTACGGCAAAGACTATTGGAAGCAGCTGAGTTTGTTAATAACCGTGGATTCGCTCGTTTAATAACCCGATCTTTTTTAAGAAGATGTCGAGCGTGTATTGCGGCTGAAGGAAAACAGTTTGAGCATTTGCTGTAAAGGTAAATCATCATCAGCAGCATTTTGACGCCCACTGTTATGCAAACAGTTATCCTTAAGGGCCCTTGTGCGTTTTCATAATCGCTGTTTAATTAGGAAATTTTGAAAAATTTTCATCAGTTTTTCTTCAAATAAAAATTGTGCATAAGTTAACGAGTAATCTTCTAAGTGTTATACCATTTTGGAATCCTTATTCAATGCGCCAACTTTTAAGGTTACTTGCCAAACTCTCGTAGTACATTTTTTTCCAGTACATCCAGTTAAAGTTGAGCAAAGTTTTACTTTGGAATACTTGGTTGGGAAATAAGTGGCAATTTTTCCTGAACCAGAAAAGTTGGCAGTACGGTTGAGACACCAGTTTGAAGATGCATTATTCATCATTACATTGTAAAAATAAAATCCAAAAAAAGTTAATATTTGTAGTAACAGGAGTTGGCAGACTGCCGTAGGGTGATAAATTTCTATATCTTTTACAAAGACCTATAATTTTCAAAACACATACATAAATTTTTGTTCAAATATTTTTCTGATAGCTGTTATGACTTTGCCTATCACCCGGTTTCAGCTTGACGTCGACTTCTGGGACACCCTGTATATTAAAGTGTAGTGGAGCGCCTTGAGATTTCTTCCAGACATCGTTCTCAAGATCCGGGGTATTCGTCAGCACGTCATTATGCACTATTTTAAAAAAAGACTTGCGTCTGCGGCCATACAAAATTCGGTTTAAACAAGAACAATACAGTCATGTAATATTGCAGCTGAATACCCAAAATAACGATTCTTACCGACAACTGATAATGAGCGAATGAACGGATTTGTTAATAAGCGGAATCCATCAACGACCACTACATCCTCGTCGAGTCACAGTTTGGTACGGTGTTTGGTATGGAGGTGACATTGGACCTTACTTCTTCGAAGACGCTGCAAGCAATTCTCTTGTGGTGAGCGCTACCGTGATAATATAATGCAAAACTGTCTGGCTCCTCAAACCGAACAATTTAACCTGAAAACAGCAGGACACAGCAACTTGTCACACAGCTAGGGAAACAATGAATCTTTTGCGAACAATATTTCCGGAACGTTTAATCTCTCGATTTGGTGATGCCAACTGGCCACCAAGGTCACCGGATTTAACGGCTCCTGGCTTTTTTATGGGGGTTTTTGAAAAATATATGCAACAAATCCAATACTGTAGAGCAGCGGAAGAACAATATATGGAAGCGATTGAAAATATTCCTCCCGAAACCCACCAAAAAGTGATGGATTTTTGATACATAATTTCTAAGTTTCATTAAAAGATTAAAATGGAAAAGAATGGACGTATTTTATTTCCTTTCATTGCATGGGAAGCACAGACTCGATCCATTTGAAAAAATAAATTTCGACAAAATAAAAATCAACTAATGTTTAGAATCACAATAAAATTTGTTTTACTAGAATAATATCCATACGTCACGGAATTTTCCAATCTGTTATTTTATCAGTGTGTACCTGCTTAGCCAGAACTTGATGTTATCACGTCAATTCAAAGTTGTTTGTATATTGATAGATACAAGCTTATATCTCCACAGGAAATGATGAGTGGAATATTTATCTCTTTCGTTCACGAAATAAATGATACTGATTTATGAAGGGTAGCCGCATATGAAAGGGTCACGTTCTTGACGGTTTCTTGAGCAATGAGTGCTGCTTGAGGGATATCTCTCCTTAGATTTTATGTTGAAATGCGTAGCAACGCTCAAGGGAAAACTTAACATTTGCACTTCATAGTAGTTGTCATCACATATATTCAAAATTTGCACAATTCACACCATTTTCAAACTATACAAACTTTCAAAATCTTCGAGATACTCCATAAGAATGAAAATTAAGAGCATCTGAATTTATTAAAGTTTTTGAAAAAGCCGAAAATCGTGCAAATTTCGAATACCTTTAATACCTTCATAATGTTTAAAAACAGTGATCATTCCTGAAGGAAGCGTTATTGTTTGTTTAACATGAAATCCGAGGTCAGATCATCCCTCAAAAGGCACTCCATCCTAAAGGAGCGTCAACGACAATAGAGCCACTAGTGTGCTTAAAATGAGAGATTATTTTTATATTAAAATAGTATAGTGTCCGCAGCAGCTAAAAAGCATTATTTAGAAATGAGAGAAACATAAATATACTAAGTGACGTATAAATCCAAACACCCAGTTTAAATGGTTTTATTTTAATAAAAGTTGGTGAATGTATTTATACTAAGTGACATATAAATCCGAACATCCAGTTTAAATGGTTTTATTTTAATAAAATTTTGTATAAGTACTTAATGAAGCATAATAAGTAAATGATAAAAATTTCAAAATGATTGCACTGCTTTAAAGCCCTTTGACCTTTAATAATGTGTGGATGCACCCTGATGCGCTACGCATTCTCCAACGCGCCTAGGCATGCTTCTGATCAGGTGGCCAATGTCCTCCTGTGGTATCTCATTCCAGGCAACCACCAACTCCTCTCGAAGTGCTTCTAGAGTCTGAGGAGGACGTTGCAAATTGAGCAATCTCCTACCCATCATATCTCACACGTGCTCAATTGGGGATAAGTCGGGAGATCTTGGTGGCCATGGTAACAATGTGACATCATTATGTTGAAAGAAGTCTATTGTGACTCTTGCAATATGTGGTCGGGCATTATCTTGTTGGAAAGTTGGATCTGCCAGGGTGGTGTCAAGATAGGGTAAAAGATGGGGTTCTAGAACTTCGTGGACATAACGCTGCGCGTTCATGTTACCTCTGATGAAGATTAAAGGTGACCTGGAACCATAAGCTATAGCACCCCAAACCATAACTCCAACAGTGTGAAGAACATGTCTTTCAACAAAAAACTGTGGATTCCTCCTTTCACCACGTCACCTTCTAGCCCTGGTACGACCATCGTGCATGCCTAAACAAAATCGAGACTCGTCACTAAAGACAATACTGTTCCATTCCTGATCCCAGAGTGACCGTTGTCTGCACCACTCAAGGCGATTACGTCGGTGTTCTCGAGTTAAAGGGAGGACCCAGTGTGGCCGGTATGAAAACAAGCCAAAACTTCTCATCCGTCGGTAAACACTTCGCATGCCAATAGGTCTTCCGTGTTCTGCAAACCATTCATTTGCAATAGACCTGGTAGTGGAGAAACGGTCCCTTAAGGCCAATAATCTTAGGCGTCGATCTTCACGGTCTGTTGTTCTACGGCGGCGTCCAGTGCCCCTTGCTCTATGCGTACGGCCTTCTCGAAGCCATGCCTGACAACACCTAACCACAGTGTCTACACTTCTTTGCACTCTAACTGCAATTGCCCGAAAAGAAAGTCCAGCTTCCCGAAGTCCCACTATACGGCCCCTATCAAACTCACTAAGTTGACGAAATCGTACAGGTCTCCGTACTCTAGGCATCGTAACCGATCGTAAAGGATGTCAAGAACCAAAATCCGCCAACGTTGATTCTTTACTGCGGCTGAAATATTCATTTTTAGAGCGTTAGTGAATTAAAAAAAAGCAGTATAAAAACCGGAATGTCCAACTGATAAGGCTGGACATTTTTTCACTTGTTATTTACAGTAAGATAAATACAATCACCAACTTTTATTAAAATAAAACCATTTAAACTGGGTGTTCGGATTTATATGTCACTTAGTATATGTACACCTGGCGAACACCCGCGTGAACATTGTGGGGTGACGAGGAGAACCCGTCAATTATGAAGGACATCTTGCGGCCAAAGATAAACTCAGTCACCCATCTGCAAAGTTTCTTCTGACAGACAATAGGATGAAAGCTTGAATAACAGTGCAGCATGCCACAGTTTCTTGGATCTTCTAATAATTCGCAGACAATGACTTCGTAGACGGCTATGTTATATCGTACGCCACTGTACGCTATTCAGGGCAATGGTCTAGCCCAGCATTAGAATGAAATTTCCACTCGTTGGACGGTTATGGTTATTCCACACATTTAGCTTTCGGCATATTAGCCGGTTTTCGCTAATTATGTTTGTTTTATCCCTTGCGAGTTAATTGTAATATCCTCGTGTTGCTGCATATGACCGTTCCTAATTTGTTCGTAATTTCCTAAGACAAATATTTCTTTGAAAGTTGGGATATTAACGCAAGATGAAGTTGAACGTAAAATAAATATGTTAAAATTCGTATATTATTTACACCGACTGTTACACTCACACATATTTATTTAAGGCAAATGAATATTATCATAATTAGAGTACTCATCGGTCTGTTCTGGTGGGGCGCCAATATGGAAGCATCAATTTGTTAATTGTTTCTAAATTCTAAAAACATCTTTTGTTTAATAAATTCAATTTCAAGAGTTAACGGAATCGACGCTTTTTAGAAGCGTTTGTGGATCAGATAACGTGAAGAGGTCTTGTGATAATATATAGACATCTTGAGGATGAGTGTTTGAGATTTTAATTGTTATGACTTAGTATTTATATATAAAAGGATATCATTCATCGTATGAAGTTATTCTAAGCGTGATAACTCGGTCAGAATGGCGAAACTAGTATGTGCTATAGTTCTGTTATCTGCATTAAGCTTAACTCAGGTGCGTATTTCTAGATACTTGATAAACATTAGAAAGAAATATGTGACCTATTGACTTATCAACAATGATGCCTGATAGCAGGAATAAAAAAATATAAAGTTCTTTATGCTACTTACGGGAAAGTTGAGTATCTTGTATCGGTTTTGTGCCAGCTTGATATTTACTGCATCGTAGATTTCGAACATGTTTCATGCCTTTTGGTGTCAAAGACATTCTCGCTTCCAAAAAGGACGTCCAGCACTCCAAAACGACAAGCGAGCATGCCGTTATCTGTCGTTTTTTCAATGTATCAGATACCTAACCCTCATCGATAGTTCCGAAGACGTCAAATGTTCTCTCGTCTTTTTTTTTGAGGGATGTATGTTGTGCATAAGAAACGACAGAAAACCTTATTCTCGCTTATCGTGTCAGAGTGCTGGACGTCTTTTTTGGGAGCGGGAATACCTATCCCAGGCTATCCTAGCTTATGCATGTTACGGGAAAAGGCGTAAGAAATAGAGTCAATCAGAAATATGTAAAAGTATCGTACTTTAAATTATCATTCATGTCAAATGAGTCATTTTAAAATATGATAATCGATAGAATTAACCCAAGTTTACCCTACTATTAATGTTTTTTATTCATGTTCTAGGCTGCACATAAAGTGAAAGTATCCCTATACTACGAAGCACTATGCGGGGGATGTTCTTACTTCATTCACAGTCAGTTGAAACCAGTCTACAAGGAGCTTAAAGACCACGTGCAATTGGACTTGGTACCATTTGGAAATGCTAGAGTAAGTTTTTGCTCGTAAAGGGCAGATAAGACAATAAAGAAAACCGCCCTAAAACGGACGTTTCCCCTGAGACGCACCTCTGGTCTCATTGGCTCTGTATTCTCTGCATTCTATTGCTGAGTGTAACAAGTAGCTTAAGTATCTACCACGGCTAGGAATTCACTAACTTGACTTGACTTTCAAGGAACCTGATCTGACTTGACTTAACTTGACCTGAGATTAAGTCAAGCTCAAGGCAAGTAGTTTTTGCGTCTGTCCGTCGAGTACCTGAAAAATCAAGTAGTCTTGATATTGCTTGATAATTTTTGTTATACAGGGTGTCACAGAAGTCGACGTCAAGCCGAAACCGGGTGATAGGCAAAGTCATAACAGCTATCAGAAAAATATTTAAAAAAATTTTATGTATGTGTTTTTAAAATTATAGGTCTTTGAAAAAAATATAGAAATTTCACACCCTACGGCAGTCTGTCAACTCCTGTTACTACAAATATTAACTTTTTTTGGATTTTATTTTTACAATGTAATGATGAATAATGCATCTTCAAACTGGTGTCTCAACCTTACTGCCAATTTTTCTCGTTCAGGAAAAATTGCCACTTATTTCCCAACCACGTATTCCAAAGTAAAACTTAGCTCAACTTTAACTGGCTGTACTGGAAAAAAATGTACTACGAGAGTTTAGCAAGTAACCTTAAAAGTTGGCGCATTTAATAAGGATTCCAAAATGGTATAACACTTAGAAGATTACTCGTTAACTTATGCACAATTTTTATTTGAAGAAAAACTGATGAAAATTTTTCAAAATTTCCTAATTAAACAGCGGTTATGAAAACGCACAAGGACCCTTAAGGATAACTGTTTGCACAACAGTGGGCGTCGAAATGCTGCTGATTTACAGCAAATGCTCAAACTGTTTTCCTTCAGCCGCAATACACGCTCGACATCTTCTTAAAAAAGATCGGGTTATTAAACGAGCGAATCCACGGTTATTAACAAACTCAGCTGCTTCCAATAGTCTTTGCCGTAGCTCAGCTACATTTAGAATCGGCTTGAAATACACTTTTTCTTTTACAGTTACCCAGTAAAAAAAATCTAACGGATTCAAATCTGGTGACCGGGCTGGCCACGGTATTGTACCAGACCGCCCTATCCATCTGCCTGGGAAGTTTTGATCGAGATACTCTCTCACTGAGAATGCATAGTGCGCTGGGCAGCCATAATGCTGAAACCACATGTCCCCGTAAATACCCAGTGGCACGTCCTCCAATAAATTTTCTAAATGATTTTGCAAAAAACCTAAATAAACCTCAGCAGTCAAAGTCTCTGGGAACTCAATCGGACCGATTATTTTACCATTTAAAATTCCTGTCCAATGGTTTATCTTGAAGCGATATTGAGATTTATCTTCTCTCATCAAATGTGGGTTTGCTACGTGCCACTCGTGTAAGTTATACAGGTTCATGTACCCATCTTTCTTAAATGTGGTCTCATCTGACCATAACATTTTTTCAAAGAGCCGTGGATCTTAACTGAGTCTTTCTAACATTGTGCGACAAAAAGCAACTCGGGGCTCATAATCCCGGGGCAGAAGAGCTTGAACACGCTGTACGTGGTATGGATGGAGCACGTTTTTTTGCAAGATTCTATGGGCTGTACTTTTGAGCACACCTGTTTTTAGTTCTATTGCACGCACTGAAGTACTCGGGTCTTCTTCGACAGCTCCTAGCACCACGTCTTCGTAAGGAAGGAAATATCTTCCCTCACCGTGTGATTGGTTTGGTAGTTGGCACTCTGAGAACAGTAAGCGGTACACATTTGTGAACACTCGATGATTTGGATGACGAGCTGCATTCGGGTACCTCTCACAGTAAAGTCTCGCTGCAGCACTAGCGTTGCATCTGTATTCCCCATAAATGAGGTACATGTTAGCATATTCTTGTACGGTGTACACGGACATAGCGGCACTGCACAATCACACTATCAAAGATAGTCTAAGGAAAGCAAATGTTGTTTTGACGAGCAATTAAACAGTCCAAATCCAAATCACAAGCGATCAACAGTCCAGTTCACGAATCCAAAATTAGTAACAGTACGAAATCAACAAGCACGAACATGTAAAGATGCGCAGTAAACGAAGGAGTACTGATCGGTATCAAAGTGTGCAATAGCAAGTAAGTGATGTGCTTCATCCATATCACATACAGCGTGTTCAACCTCTCCTGCTCCGGGATTATGAGCCCCGAGTTGCTTTTTGTCGCACAATGTTAGAAAGACACAGGAAAGATCCACAGTTCTTTGAAAAAATTTTATGGTCGGATGAGACCACATTTAAGAAAGATGGGTACATGAACCTGCATAACTTACACGAGTGGCACGTAGCAAACCCACATTTGATGAGAGAAGATAAATCTCAATATCGCTTCAAGATAAACCATTGGACGGGAGTTTTAAATGGTAAAATAATCGGTCCGTTTGAGTTCCCAGAGACTTTGACTGCTGAAGTTTATTTGGATTTTTTGAAAAATCATGTACAAAATTTATTGGTGGACGTGCCACTGAGTATTTACAGGGACATGTGGTTTCAGCATGATGGCTGCCCAGCGCACTATGCACTCTCAGTGAGCGAGTATCTCGATCAAAACTTTCCAGGCAGATGGATAAGGCGGTCTGGTACAATACCGTGGACACCCGATCACCTGATTTGAATCCTTTAGATTTTTTTACTGGGGAACTGTAAAAGAAAAAGTGTATTTCAAGCCGATTCAAAATGTAGCTGAGCTACGGCAAAGACTATTGGAAGCAGCTGAGTTTGTTAATAACCGTGGATTCGCTCGTTTAATAACCCGATCTTTTTTAAGATGTCGAGCGTGTATTGCGGCTGAAGGAAAACAGTTTGAGCATTTGCTGTAAAGGTATATCATCATCAGCAGCATTTTGACGCCCACTGTTGTGCAAACAGTTATCCTTAAGGGTCCTTGTGCGTTTTCATAATCGCTGTTTAATTAGGAAATTTTGAAAAATTTTCATCAGTTTTTCTTCAAATAAAAATTGTGCGTAAGTTAACGAGTAATCTTCTAAGTGTTATACCATTTTGGAATCCTTATTAAATGCGCCAACTTTTAAGGTTACTTGCCAAACTCTCGTAGTACATTTTTTTCCAGTACAGCCAGTTAAAGTTGAGCAAAGTTTTACTTTGGAATACTTGGTTGGGAAATAAGTGGCAATTTTTCCTGAACGAGAAAAGTTGGCAGTAAGGTTGAGACACCAGTTTGAAGATGCATTATTCATCATTACATTGTAAAAATAAAATCCAAAAAAAGTTAATATTTGTAGTAACAGGAGTTGACAGACTGCCGTAGGGTGTGACATTTCTATATCTTTTTCAAAGACCTATAATTTTCAAAACACATACATAAAATGTTAAATGTTGCTTCTTCCACCCGGTGCAGACCGCCCCCGCCGCCACCCTTGCTACGCCACTGTTCTAAAATTACCTGACATATTCAGTATAGTGTACTAATGCATATTTTTCAGTTTAGAAAAGTTGGATCAAAGTGGCAGTTCATGTGTCAGCATGGTCCTGAGGAATGCTATGGAAATATCATCCACGCCTGTGCTTTGGACTCAAGTCCCGTAGAAGTAGCTTTGGATTTTATTGCGTGCTGCGAAGGACAAAAATTCGTTACTTCAGACAAAACTTTCCAAAAGGTATGTACCAAGTATTTCAAATTCGGCTCAAACAAAAACATTAATTTTCTCAAAATCACTCTCAATTTTTTCTGACTTTATTTAATAATTATAATATTAAGAATAATAGTAATAGTAATGAAATCCTTTATTTTGAACTGGCGGACAACATGTGTACAATGTCCAAAAAAGTATATTAACACATCTTTTATCTGGAATTTGTGATCTTTCTCATTCAGCGTTGGCGTACGCGTCTTTATTACCAATAGGTAATAGACCAGAGTTCCCCAAACTTTTTTGTGTCGTAGATCCCTTGCCATGTTTTTCCGTGTTCGGTAGACCCCCTACTTACCTGATATTGATTTCCTGTAAATTTCTAACTGTAGTGAAGTTTAGTGTTAAAAACTTAAAGTAAAAACACATGTTAATTTATACATTTATTAATTGAATTTAAATTAAAACTACTCAAAATAAAATTTTGTATCTGTTATGTAAAATATACGTAACATTAAATAAACAGGTGTCTGACCAATAAGTGTCCGCATTGGGAATAAGTGCCCGCATTGAAAAAAAATAAGAGGGATAAAATAAAAAAAAAGTGAAAAATAATAAAAAAAAGTTTTTTACTTAAAATAGTACAATAAGCGAGTTCGTTTATTAATTATAACATAAAAGTATGTTCTACAATAATTTCACTGTTAGTTTGATTAAATTCCGCTTCTTATACGTTTAAGTTATCTAAAAATAGGCAAAAAATTAACGGATTTTAGTGTGTACCTTTCCTTGAATTTTCAGAATAATTTAAAAAAAAATATTTTCCATAAAGGGGGGTTCTTTGAAAAAATCAATGCGGGCACTTATTCCCAATGCGGGCATTTATTGGTCAGACACCAATAAACATAAAATAAACTATAAATAAAATAACATAAGCAATAAGTCAATATTTTTAGTGAGAAGGATGAACCTGATGCTTTAATAATAAATTATCAACATTTGGCGTCAATTTTGTAAGGGTTAATCTTAAATCTCCTCGGCTAATGATGTCCAGTCTGTTTTTTTTTCGTTAGGAGATTGGTAACAGCGCTGAACCCCCTTTCCACTAGGTATGACGATGGAAAGGAAATTAAAAATTTCCTCGCTATATTCCATAATACGGGATAAGTAACGGGTATGTTGTTTTGCAGCCAGAATTGCTGATATCCGTTTTTAAACTGAACCTTAAGTTCTTCGTTTGTACTTAGTTCAGTCAGTTCCTCTTGTATTATGACATTCGTTTCTTCTATGTCACCATATGGATTAATTATCCACGGTGGTATTACCATAGTCAAAATATCCTCAAACCTAGATTCAAAATCTGAATAGAGGGCATTTAAATGTTGAACGTAAGTTGGAACGTCGTCTTCCTGGTAGCTTGTCTGTGACAAATTGGGGAATTGAGAAAATTCGCCCCGTCCAATATTTTGCTTCATTAGTTTAACTCTGGCAAAAAACGCTGATAAGATGGACTTTGTTATAATCAAATTTAAACTGTCGCCTTATAATTGCAAATTAATCATATTAAATTTTGTAAATAAATCTGTTAAATAGACGATGTCTGTTTTCGTCTTCATTAAATTTTCTTTTAAAATTTTATCTTTAGTATCCAGAAATTCTAAAATAGTCTCAAAAAGTGCATATATTTTGTCAAACATAAGCCTTTCGACAGCCAGCGTACTTCAGTGTGAAGGAGTAATTGATGAAAGTGTTCGTCATTTTCTTCACACAACTGCGCAAATAACCACGTATTCAACGCGTTGCTTCGGATTCGGTTTACTGCATCAATGACTAAATGAAGTGATTAATGCAATCTAACACTCAAATTCTTAGCAACTAAATGTTGTCGATGGATGACGCAATGTATTGCTAACACCCCTGACACATTTTGTTTTAAATAGCTTATAAATCTACGATAACGTCCAACCATGGCAGGTGCTCCATCTGTAGCTACTGATATTATATTTGATAAAGGAATTGCTTTTTCAATGAAGTAATAATTCAAAACATGAAATATTGATTCACCTTTAGTGCCGGTTATCAAAGTTCTTGCGAAGAGCAGTTCTTCGTAGATTTCTTGATTCATAATAAAACGAACATATGCCAATAATAATGCTGCATTATCAGGTAAAGTTGACTCGTCCAGTTGTATAGAGAAATGGGTCGTTTGCAAATAATTACATAAGAAGCTTTCAATATCAGAACTCATTTCATCAATACGTCTTTCAACAGTATTGTTGTTTAAGGGAATTCTTTTAATGATATCAGATGCAGGTTTGTGTAAAACAGTTTTTAAAACCTCTTCAACGGCTGGCAAAATTAGCTTCTCTCCGATAGTATGCGGTTTTCCGGATTTTGCTATAAGTAACGAGATATTGTAAGACGCCCGCAAACCATCATCATTTCTTTGTGACGTCGAAGCGAACATTCTGTCCAGTGTAGGTCTCTTCTGAAATTCATCTTTGAGTGTTTGAAAGTATTTCAAATCTTTCTCTGTTTTATCACGGTGGCATCTTCTCAGATGATCTTGCAGTTTAGATGGTTTCATAGCGTCATTGCCCAAAACTTTGTTGCATAAAAGGCACATAGGCGATTGTTTTTCCGGCAATGATGGAATGAAGCCAAATTTCAAATAATCAACACTGTACTGTCTACATTTCTTTTTAGATTCGGACATGGCATCAGTCATCTGTGGGCAAAATTAAATTATTTAAATAAGACAGAAAATCCAGCAGCTGTATATTAAAAATATTTTTTGATTTTTCCGAAAACATTCTATAATTCGAACATCTTGCAACAATTAGCTCGAATTACGGAGATTGCACTGTAATTATATTACCGATTGCTAAAACTTTCAAAAAGAAATTATTGAGGAGTACTCGTGTAATTTTGCATGATTCGATAATTAACTACTAATAACTAAAGTCATGATTGGCGTAATTTATCTATCTTTGCTAACTACGAGTACAAAACTAAAATTTAATAAAAAATAATGTACTTACTTTTCACCAGCACTCTCAAACAAAATATCACTGACTCGCTATAATTTGTGTGATATACTATCTGTTATATTTTTTAAAATATTTTCTTAGCACTTTCCTTTTCAAGATTCAGGAAACGAATAAACGTATTGCTCCCACATTCGTATTTATAGAGGGACGAATTGAACAAGTCAGTGCAAGGTAGCGAAGCTCCGAGACTGCGACTCTCGGGTTTTTACGAGTTCAAAATGTATTGCGACCATATCCTACAACTTACACAATTTTATAAACATATATAATAAATTTTTTACTTCATAGGTACTTTTATAAATAATGTATATGTTTTGATATTATAAGATAGTATGATGTAAGTAAATAGGTACTATAGGTGTATGTGTTGAGATCCACTATCGTGGACCCCCATATTCATTTCACGGACACCCAAATTTTTTTTCGCTGACGTAGACCCCTTGCAAGTTGTCATAGACCCCTAGGGGTCGATATAGACCACTTTGGGAACCAATGTAATAGACAATATTAAAACAACATCATTGAATTTATTTTTTAACATACACGCATTGACAAGGGTACCATTGTTTTGAATGCTTAAGCACCGTTGACGCTAATCGTACCTTGCAGTGCTCCAAGAAGGCAGGCCTGAAGTTCGAAGACCTCAAGAAATGCAAAGAGACCAAAGGTGACGACCTCCTAGCGGCATACGGTAAGAGATCGAAGCCAGTCGGTTATCCTTGGGTTCCTTTCATCACCATCAACGACAAATATGACGAAAATGTGAGCATGAATGCTATGTACGACCTCAAGAGTGTTTTGTGCGAGCATCTCAAAGATGACCCACCTAAGGCCTGTTCGAAGAAAACAATCGATGCCGTTGACGAAATCAGCGTATGCAGAGCTTAAATGTTGTTTATGTCAATAAAACTTGTTACGAAAAATGACCTCAAGTAATTTTACCCTGTTCTTGCCGTACGACGCAATTTAAACCCTCTGAGAGTTAGTTACGGACATACACAACAGAGAAATTAAACGGATCAAGTCAGTCAAACAGGCTCACGTTAGCCCTTCTGAAAAAAACTTAGCTACGAACGTTTATAATAAAAACTTAAATGGCCCTCTCCTTCCCCCTGAGAGAAATTTCTGCGGGCGCTCCTGATCGTTGGTCCGACGAATGTCGAGTGGATGGCGATATTGACCCGCACAGCATTCAGCTCACATCAGGGATAGAATTAAATAAAATGTACCAAAGTCAAAAAAATTTGATAATAACTGGAGGATGGTGACTATCAATAAGAGCATCAACTATTTAATAAGCATCTCCTAGATTCGGTACATGCTGCATTTGAGTTGTTTTCTCAAGGAGTTTGTGAATCTCTTTTATGTGCACATTCACCTTTTTTGCAAATCAACAAACTTCATGCCCCATTTCTCGGAAAGTAATAATACGATTGCCTTGGTTTTATGAAAGCTTTTGGTCAGGCAGGTGAGAAATATATCATATTGAATTCTTAGGCAAATCGACTAGGACCCATTTTCCATATGCTTTTTTTTTTATATATATCGAAACAGCCGCGCAGGCAGAAGCCTAAATGCCGGAACACCGCGGCTGCTATGATGATCCCAAAGAAATTTTGTTAATACGATTTTTGAACTGCCTAAGGTTAGTAGAACTGGGAAAAGCTTCCTTCCGTAGTTTGTTCCACAATCTAGACACCCTCGGGACAAAGGAGCGGTCGTATCGGCCAGTTCTGGATGTACGAAGTTTGACACGGTTAGGATGGGACGCCGAAGTCAGGCGGGTCTGTCTGGCAGGCACATCGCGCGGCGGCATCATGGACGAGAGCTCTGAGGAGCAAAGCCCGTTGGTGTAGCGATAGAAAAGAGCTAGATCGCCGACGGCCCGCCGGTGCGAAAGAGTCCCGAGACTGTCTGTTAGAGAAAAGTCATCGATCAGTCGGACCGCCCTCCTCTGGACAGCATCGAGCATGGACAATGTAGTCGGGGCGGCAGCACCCCAAATGTGTGAGCAATACTCGAGGCTAGGCCTTATCTGGGCCTTGTATAGAGTGAGAAGGTCATGCGGAGAAAAGTACTTCTTAACCCTAAACAAATAGCCTAGCTTTTTCCCAGCAGCTGCAGCTATTGAAGAGATGTGTTCGTGCCAGATCAGGTCCTCGGTGATCTGGACTCCGACCAGCCGAAATGAATGGCTCTTTGGTAGGACTCGACCGTCCATCGAAACTGTATGAGCGCTAGGACGCTTTTTGTTCGTCAAAGTACAGTACTGTGTTTTGGAAGCATTGAACTGTACAAGATTGTTGCGTCCCCAAGCAGTGATAGCCTCCAGGTCTCTTGTCAGAGAAGAAGTCGTCGCTAGTCTTCTTTTTTCCAGCTCAGCGGCAGAGATCGGCTTGTCACTCTGAATTCCTGCATGTAGAGTGCTGTCATCAGCGAAGCTGTGGATTGGGTTGATCGTGCAGGAAAGGAGGTCGTTGATATGTAAGAGAAACAGTGTTGGAGCCAAGACCGATCCCTGGGGAACACCCGCGTTGACGTTGTGGGATGAAGAGGAGAATCCGTCAATTACGACGGATATCTTGCGGCCAGAGATAAAGTCAGCCACCCATCTGCAAAGCTTTTCTGGGAGGCCGTAGGATGGAAGTTTGCTCAAGAGGGCAGCGTGCCACAGCTGATCGAACGCTTTCGTGATGTCAAGAGCAACGACATGAGCCTCACCATGAGACTGGATGAGTTTACTCCACAGTTGCGTGACGTAAGCTAGGAGGTCCCCTGTGGATCGTTGGTGCCGGAAACCGTACTGCCTGTCGCTAATCAAGCTGTGATGTTCGAGGTAGTCCAGAAGCTCGCGATTTATGCACCTCTCCATCACTTTACTTATAACAGAAAGCAGAGCTATAGGCCTGTAGTTGTAAGGGTCGGTTTTAGATCCTTTTTTTGGGATGGGCTGTACATGAGCAAATTTCCAGTTTTCTGGGAAGGTGCCGGATTCATAAGATATCTGGAAGAGACGCGAAAGAACTGGAGCAAGCTCAGCTGCACATCTCTTCAGTACAATGGCAGGAATCAAGTCCGGACCAGAAGCTTTGTTGATGTCGAGCGACAAGAGCACTCGTCTTACGGTCTTATGCCTGAATGTTACCTCCCGCATAGTGTGGGGAACCCTTTGAATTGACGGCACTTGGGCGTTGGTGGGGACGTCCATGGTGGAGTTGGCAGCAAAGATCTTGGCTAGCACTTCCGCCTTGGCCTTTGAGTCGAATACAATAGTTCCATCCTGACACGTAAGTGGTGGAAGGCTACTATGTGAGAAGTTCTTTTCAATCTGCTTGGCCAACGTCCAGAAAGACCGACTGCCATTGCGCTGCGACATTACCCTGTGCCTGACTTTTATATCATGCTGGGTTTTGGCATTGCGAACCGCTTCGTTATATTTGTTTCTGGACAAGACGTCGGCTTGTCTGTTCTCTACAGTGGGGTTTTGTAAGTAGGTTCTGTGGGCCTTGATCTTCTGCTGGCGAGCAGTGTCACACGATTTGTTGAACCAGCCGTTGGACCCTGGTTTAGGAACTTTCACTGTGTGAGGGATGTATTCGTCCATTCCGACGTGGATAATTTCGGTTATTGAAGAACAGACCATCGACGCATCCGCGTCAGTGAAACAGACATCTCTCCAAGGACTCTGAGCCCCTCCCAGTCGGCATGTCCGTAATGCCAAGTTTTGCGGCCTGTGCGAGTTTCTGCGGCCACAGCGGCTTCTGACCGAAACCTAACCTCCACAACACCGTGATCTGAGTTACCCAGGGGGGACAGGACGGCAGTGCTGTAAGGGGCAGGATGCGTGGTCAGAAAGAGATCCAGCAGGCTACTGGCGTGTGACGAGACGCGGGGGAAAAAAGTAGGGCTCGTCACCAGCTGGGTCAGCCCTTGAGTAAGAGCGAACGCTTCGACTGCACGACCTGCTGCATCGGTTTTATTTGAGCCCAACCAAAGCTCATTATGGGCATTGAAATCACCGAGAAGAACTACCTCTGAAGCGGGGTGATTGATGTTCAGGAAGTCGATCTGGACGGCGAGGTATTCGAGTAGGTCATCCCAGTTATGGTTCGAGGGAGAGCGATAAAGGCAGCAAATAAATTTGGGTGATGTTTTGGAGTTGAGACGAAGCCACAGAATGTCGTTCCGGTCTGATTCCAAAGAAAGATCCCTGGAGCAGGAAAGGCTGCTGCGGACAAAAGCCACAACTCCCCCGTTCTTTCTCAGATTGGAGTGCACCTCGTAGTTTGGGAAGTTGAGATGGTTAATCGGTGCAGCCTTTGAGATTTTTGTCTCCGCCAAGAAAAGCACGGCGGGACGATTGGATTGCAGGTAGTGATGAACAGCATCAATGTTGCTGTTGATCCCGCAGATGTTCGAAAAACAAATTTTATCTTCGATGTTGTTCCCTCGAGCCCACCCTCCACCCGGACATTCCGAGAGTGGAGTGAGTTTACGTCCGGAGTTTTTAGTGCTCGAGGGATCCATCATCATTAATTTCTTTGTTTTGGTAGATAACTGACTGCATAGCTTAGGTGTGGAAACATGCGGACATTTATAAGACACCCTGGGAAAAGCTAGCGGGTGGTACTGCCTCGGTCGACTGGTCCTTGTCTACCACCTTCTTTTTACGTATTAGTGATGTTAAATAGACCTAAAGTGGCCCGTTGGCGGACTTGTACCGCCACCCGGCAATCGGTACTGAGGTATTCCTTAACGCGTGCGCAATCGCTTGGACGGGAAGAAGTTGTATACTGGATACAACGACTTCCGGAACAAGCATTTGCCACGGCCCTCGCGTAGGGAGTGATGCTTTATGCATCTCTACATAAATAAAAGCAAATTGTTTTGGCAACTTTCCCGAAGACACTTATTTCTTTATTTGGTAGATCTATTTACTTAGTTCATTTTTTGTTTCTTGTAGAAACAAGCCATCTCAGATAGTTTCCGAGAAAAAAATGAGTCCATCAACAGGTTCCCAAGCGTCTTATAAATCCTTTAAGTGCAAATAAACAAGTATGATATTATTGCAATTATTATTTAACTACAGACAATAGTGCGAATCTTTCATAAAATACGGCGCAAAAAAAATAATAGTTAACTTTCTCTAAAATGTAATTTTTCTGCCATGAACGAGCGCCTTCCCACTTCAGTTGGCCCAACTATTGAAATCTTAGTTTTTTTCTTATCAAACACAAATAATAAAAATGTAGCGGGGTGTTATAGGTTTAAAATATTAACAATGAATATTTGGATATATAGTAGAAAACACCAACTTTATCACTCCCTAATCAAATTTGCAGCATAAAAATAACACATTGTGCAATTACAGCATATCAACCTATTTTCATTTCAATGCAAAATAAGTCTATAACGCATAGGTGGCTGTGAACAATAAAAGCCATGACAAGTGTTTTTATTAATCACAGCTGTCAGAATACGTTTAAAATAGTTTTGGGTAGTAAAGGTAGTTTTAAATCATGTCCCACAGTTGGTTGGCGTTGTCTGCCTGATCCTCTTATACCTTTGTTTTTAATGCTCCTCATGTAAAAAAATCGCAAGAATCCATCTACCATCAAATTTCTTTTCCAAGTAATTTCTGACAGCACGCTCCACGGAATATTGAGACAGCCTGCACATCAAATGTGTTCAGAATGTTAATCAGCGTCTTAGATTATTCCACCTTGTGTCCACCTGATCATTCCTTGTGCTTGTTTGGCGATAAAAAAGTTCAGCCTGTTCTTGTGGGGGGTTGAAATTCACAGCCCTTCACAGTGAACTCTGATATAGTCACGTCTAGAGGCAAATTTCAGTCTGTCGTCCCCTGACACCCCTATCGCCGTAATAGATTTTCCAAGGGGCGGGAAGGGGAATACTAATGACGTGAAGGGCG